TTTAATAAAAATATATGTATTATTAAACATTAAGGTTGATAAATTTAATTAAGAACTGAACTTTGTAAGTAATAGGCTAGATTTGATACTATTAAAGAAAGATAACAGACCCGACCCGACCGACTTAATTTAGGCAAATATCTTCCTTAGTAGGTCCCTGTAACAATCATTTTTTTTTCCTTCTGAAAGCCCCGGAACAATAATTCAATATGCGGAAAGTGATTGCATTACTTGTGGGTCATTTGCTGTCTGAGACGGCATGAAGGGTTCAGTTCAGCAGGGCCCCTCCCCCTCTCCCTTTTTCCCTTGGCAAAAACTGAGTCAATGGTGGACTAACTGGCCTGTTGGGTGTGGAGCTTGACTAGGATTCCCAAAAATAAAAAATTGGTATCGTCCTTTCAAAATTTATTACTTAATGAATATTTTTATAATTTTTATGAATGATTTATCACTTTTATAAGTGATTTATTTTTTTTTTTGATATTTTTTTTTACTGTTGTAGTAACTATTTTTAGTATTTTCTTTAGTATCATAACTAGTGGGACTTTAGGTGGCTCTACGGTCCCAGACTGACACGTGGAAAGATGGAGTCGTTTTGATGTCCAAAAGGTGGCGAGGAGGTAGGCCGAGATATGTTGTCTCAGAGGAGCCGAGTACAACAGCTGACATCTTATTTAATACGATGTGACCTCTCATTTATGACGGAATGAGTGATGGTGACAAGACTATTAATGAGCGCTTATGAGCGCCTGTATTCTGAGAGTCTAGATCTACAATCATGATGACTAGGGATTGATGGTTACTACGCCGAGTATGTACGATCGGCTCTCTCCGAGGAACTATTCCCCTAAATATTCAATGCTCAGTTGTGGGTGTCAGACGCCGATCTAAGGGATGCGAATACTTGGAGCATGACATAAATGCTCGGCATGACGCCGAACACTCGCTCCATCATCCTAGCATTAAACAGGAGAAGGCTTGAGTGGAAAATACTCATTGCGCAAAGAGTGGCGTGCCAGACATTAAATGTCTAGATGAGACTGAAGGTCCTTGACAATCATTGCTAATTCATGTATAAATACTCCTCAGAAAAATGAACAGAGGTACGCAAGATTGAATCAGAAAAATCTTATTCATTGAGCTTAAACCTCGAATCTTGAGACTGACTTAAGCTTCAGAGGGGATAAGTCGGATGTTCACCTGACCCCCTTTTTCTGATCCTGTAACTCTTTTAGGTTCATCAGTTTGGAGGTCGCTATCTTAAATTATTACAGGAATTATCCCGTGGAACAACAATAATAAAAACATCTACAATAGTGATAAAAACACTCATAAATATGATAAATATTGATATATATCAAAAAAAAAAATTGATACCGTAGACAACACCAATGGGTGTGGGAAGGAATTTTGGTTGGGAAAAGCTTCCGAGTGTCTTTTTGGTTATTTTTATCGTGTCGGATCAATCTTATTTGAAGTTATGGAGCCTAAATTTAGTAATTGTAGGTTTAATTCAATTACCATCAAATTGGATTAATAAAGAAGTCAATATGAACTAAGTCATGTACAATACGAATATATGTATTTTGCTATCCAAGTAACGAACATCACTATACATGACTATTACTAAGCTATGTAATTTTGACACTAAACACCACACAAACTTGTGATTCATTGTCAAACCTATGTTTATAATGAGCAAGTGAGAGCATTTTGATAAATTATTTAGTCAAATCATGTGAATAAAATAAGGAATGCAAGATTAGAATATGAACGGAGATTGAATAGTTTAGTAGTGGTTAGGTCATGGACCGCCATGGTGCCATTGGGTATTCTTTAATGATCAGGCTTAGCAATAGGAGGTTAGGGATGCCAATGAATAGAATAGAATTGAATCGAACCCACTTTTCAGACTTGGCTTGTTTCAGTGTTTGTTCATGAAAAGTGTTCGAACATTGTTTAGGATTCAAACATCATGTTTAAGCATCGCTAGTTCATATTTTGTCCATATTTAAACTCAACTTGACTGATTCGACTCAGCTGATTACATGGGACAAACTTGAACTTATTTTCGAACTTAAATCAGAATTGTGGTTCCTGCTCAAGAGGAGTAATAAAACTCTTTGACAATGCGATTTTGGTGCCTTGTTAAGCACATAAAAATAGTTTTCTCGCTTGTGTTCAAGAGGATAAGTAAACCCAAACCTGCCAAATTTGTATTCAGTGTCAAAATTATTGTTTGTGGTGTTCCAAATATTGTAAAATCAGTTATTTAAATTTCTAATTTAAAATATATAATGTATAACAAAACAGTAACAATCAAGTGCGAAATAGTTACACAGAAACAGTCTTACACGAAAGAGTTACATAAAAGAATTACAGCAGCCTTACGAAACAGTAACGACAACTAGTTACATATAACTGTTTGTCACACCAAAAGAAATACTAACCCGGTTTAGAACATGTACTGTTATTGAAATTGATATAGATCAAGGCTAGTGTTTGACATTATGTCCTTAAGACAGATTTCGCCCCCACACACGGTGCTTATGAAATATCGAGCGTCTGCCTCCTAGAATACAATGATCTTTACACGAGCAAAAGTAGCACTTCAATCTACTCGTCCAACGAACCAAAAATTGTATTGTATACTCTCCAAATGTTGACTGCATTAATGCCAAAATGCTATGCTCTAATATTTGGCTTAACTTTGAATATGGACCGATGAATAAATGAATACAAAATGGTAATTAGTCTGGGTATTTATAGACACTTTGGTGACTTTTCGAATAACCACCGTACTAAAAGACACAACCCATATAAGCCAGAAAACACCACTTATAATTATTCTCTACGAACAACCACAACTCAATTTCAGACTGCAGGGAAGCAACAAATCTGAACCAGTGCGATCCATCAGATACCAAAAATTAAATTCAGTTTAGAAATTCTCGCCCAATTAATTAAATAAATTTTCTCCAAAAAAATAGGGCTTAGTCTAAGCCACACTCGCACCCGAGCTCGGTGAGGTCGTGGCGGGCAGCGAGTGCACGCGTGTGTGGCTGATACGGCATATAGGCGCTCACTCCGCTCATAAAATTGTGGTACCCTTTGAAACCCAATCCTATAAAACAAACTTAACCTATATACACCCATGTAGAATTTCTTCTTCAATCAATGTGGAATTGGTGTCAAATCCCACATTGCACACCTTTATTTTCACATTTCAAGATAGTCACTTTGGAGCCTATTTTCTCATTCATTTCTTACTCGATTTAAGCAAATAAATATACCACGTTATTCTCCTCACAAAGTAGAATATGAACTCATAAAAATTTACTCAAAACAACAAACAATTCCCACTTTAATTTAAGCTCAAAGTCGACCAAAAATTCTATTTTTACACTTAAAAACTGTTTTGGTCTAACCAAAATTGCTATCCCCCATTTTGTGTCATGCCAAGAATTACACCCATTATACCATCATTATACCATCGTCAGCTATGAAACGCGTAGAATACGATGACAACGAAATTGAAGAACACACAGTTAAACTGAGGCAAGAAGAACAATGGTGGCACATCCATAACACATGTTGCCACTCCTAGAAAGTGGAAAACAGAATCAAATCAACTTATAGAAAATATGTTCTAAAACAATAATCAATGAGAGGTAGTTATGCTTGTTGAATATATAAAGAAAGCATCTTGATGATTATCACTTCTCGCAATGCACCAAGTACGTAACAAAACATGGCAAAAAAACAAAACTCAAGTGGGGCTTCAAATATGTCATTCAGACAATTCATCAAACAGGTAACATACACGCTACCCTGCGAACAATACTTCAACATCAAAAACATAAATAAGTTGAATACCTTAAAATTTTTCTTCTCGAACAACTTCGGTGGAATCAGTTGTAGTGTCGATAAGTCCTGAATTGGGCTCGATCGGTTGAGAGGTTTTTTCTTGGGCGTTTATGAGCTGCTCCATATCTCTTATCCTAGTCCTAGCCACACTTGTAACCAGCACTGCAGGAGAAAGAGAAAGAGAAAGGACTTTACAGAGAGAAAGAGAATGGGGTTTTGAGAGAGGGAGAGAGAAGACTGTACCTGCGGCAGTTCCGATAGCCCAAAGCCAGAGGATCTTCACACCGGGTCCCTTTTCCGTCCGCATTATGCCTTTTTCTGTCGTTTTGTTATTTACCCGTTTTGTTATTTTTATTCGAGGATAGGACTATATAGTGATGGGAATTTATTTTTCTTTTTTCCCAGAATCATATTAAAAATGATTTTTGCCCATTAATTTTAGTTTGATTTAAAATTCTAACCGTTAATTGTAAAAAAGAATAAACTAAGTTAATAAAATAGATAAACTTCGTAGGTGCCACGTTTTTATTAGACCAAAAAGAAAGTACAATATTTAAAAAATAACATTTCCATACCATAATTAAATCATTATTTGGTAGGCCTTTGTAATGGTTTAATTAGGGCTAATACGAATTGGCGAAGGGGTGGTAATTTTAATACGATATGAATTTAATATAAAATTAAGGTTCCACCAATACGAATAAAAAAATAATCAAATTGGTTTCGGGTATGACTATCTAATCTTAACCCAACTAATTCATTTAAGTTGGTTCAATGATATTTCTTATCTCGTAAATGTTTTACCTTTTTAAGGTCAAGTGATCAAGTTTCCTCCCTCTTTCTTTTCCCTTAGAAAAAAAAAAAGTTATATTGTACAAGAAAGTGTTTGATTTTTGTTTTCATTTCTTTCGGTTGCTTGATCAAGTACGGTATGAATCCTGGTTTTTATTAGATGATTATTTATTTGGTTTAGTTAGCATATGATTGAGTTGGTTTTTAATTGGTGGGAGAGGTCTATAAATGATTGGTTTGTTTGAGAGGCAAGTTTTTGGGATTTTTTTTGGTTAGTTTGGTTAGCAAAAATCAGTGGCAGATCCACGGTGGGGGCAGTGGTGGTAGTTGCCCCCCTGGAATTTTAAAAAATTTAGAGTGTAAATATAATTTCAAAAATTTTAGAATTTATTAAACGCTTACCCCCACCGAAAAGTTTTAAAAAAATTATAAGGCTCGTAATTTTCCATGTGTTTTATTGTTTTATGTATTGAATTAAAATTGGGCTTATAGTTCTTTATTTATCTCTCTATGTTTAAAGAAAAGTGGGGCTTGTAGACCTCTTCTATGGTTTATTTTTTATATATATTTAATTGATATTAGGGCAGTACTTTCTTTTGTTTTATTTTTATGTTAAATTGGAAATGGGGCTTGTAATTATCTATTTTGTTTTATTTTTACATCTTGAATTGGAATGGAGGCATATAGTCCACCATTCTGTGTTAAATTAAATTGTTTTAATTTGGTATTTGGAATAATTATATTGTGATAGGTTAAATAATTCCTACACCTAAATTTAGTTTAATAGAATAGTCATAGTTTAAATTAGTTTCTATTGTTTGTTAAAATTCATTGATGAATACTAAATTTGTGATTGAACAAATTAATTTTTAAAAAATTAATTGTGCAATCGAATGAGAGATCAATGGATGAACAATTGCTTGGTTACATACATGGAGAAAGAAATTTTAAGTACCATTGATAATGAAATTATCATACAACTCTTTCTTTTGAAAACTTGTCGAGAGCTCGACAATTTAAATTCTCCCATTTATAGACTCAATATATGATTGAGCCCATTTTTTTATTAGGTCTTATAGTTAAATTTATAATAATTTTTTTTATTGACTCTTTTTGTATATTGTTTATATATATGGATTACACTTTTAATTGACGTTCTATTAATAAAACTATACTTTTGCGAATAGATAAAATTTTAACTGTTACACCCACCATGAAAGATATCTGGCTCCGCCCCGGCAAGAATGAATCCTTCGAGGAGGTATGTTAGTTAGATGGATCATCCATTACTCCATTCAGGCAGAGTTGACAACTTTAAGGAATGTTTACTCTTTCTGACGAGTTGTCTCTCGAATTACATCATTCTCCTTCTCCCATGCTTTTGGAGACTACGGAAAAAGACACACACTTCCTCCGACAACTCTTGGACGTTGCTAGGAGAAAGGATCTTTCCCCTCGTGTGCCTCTCTTAAGGCTTTCAACTAACCTTTAGGTCCAACTAAATACCTCATGAGTTCCCCTGTTCTCGCATGGTAATGCTTATACATTTAGGTCCAACTAAATACGACACGACCATGTAACAAACATTCCGTCACTCGACTTGGATTACGTTGAATGTCAAGTTAAAGATGCAACGCCTAATAACATACCATGAGCTCTGGAATAAGCAGAGACCCCAACAGCGTCAGCAAAAGCATTCAGATAAAAAACCAGGATTGAAGTACATGCTCTTAAGTCGAGGCGAGAACAACAATTGTAGCAAAGCCATAAAAACTAGGGAAGAAAAAATACAAAACAGAATCAAATCAACTTTTAAAAAATGCCTTTTACTGTATAGAAACTTCACCTCCATTTCTTCAACACTAAGACCATCGGAAATTCGAAGGTAGACAGGAAAACATACCAAGGAAAAGAACAATAATCAATGAGAAGTACTAATATAGATAACAGTTGGCCATAACACAAGGTGTAAATTATAATACAAGATGAAATTCTCTTCTCAATTTGTTGCAATGGATCCCAAAGTTATGGTTCAAATTCCATTGAAGCCAGAACCATGAACATCGCCTATGATTTGGAAAAAATTTAATCAAAGTTCTTTCTGTTCAACTAGGATCCTATCAAAATCAGTCTGATGCTAAAATTCACTTGCTCTTTTTGGTTTCTCTGGTATATTCATTTATTAGTCCTTCAACATCTTTCCAGAACAGACCATCCACCAAAACTCCATCCTTGGTGAACCTGCAACAATATATGCGATCAGTAAGGAGCAAGATTTTCATACATATTGAAAGTTGGAGAAGCACCAAATGAGAGAGAGAGAGAGAGAGAGAGAGAGAGACCACTGAGTAACGCTTTTGGTAAATTCAACTGGTGGCTTAGCAGATATTGATTGGGGATCAGCACTTGCTATGGTAAGTGTGTACATATCCGAAAATCTAGGCAACTTTGAAGAGACTACCAAGCCAGTGGTGTTGAAGGATCCCTGCACAAAGAATTGAACAGAATACAAAACAAGTTTTCTAAACAAATTTGATTATTGCACTGGTAAACTTTTTCTACAATTCACGAAAAGGCAGTTAATGGATGCAATAACAGAGAAAAGGACAACAAAACCAGTTGCAAGAAGTTCATCAATATGAAGTCCCTGACATCTTATCCCTTCTCATTATCCCCTAAGATGACTAACCTTTTCCCAGACCCTTTTTCTTCCTTGAGAAAGAAAAAACTGAGCTTTCTATTGTCATGTAATGTGCCATGGTTTACTGAACCTATCTCGAAATATATAGAATTCAAGCTCATAGTTCTTGATGGATAGGATCCTATCTAATAAAAAACCAAAACCACAAAGAAAAAGGCAAAAAATTACTAAAGCCATAAGTCCCAACTCAAAGAGATAGATGTCAGATATGAGATCTAGATAGTGAAATTTATCAAAACACCCCTAAATCCAATGTATCTGATGTTGAAGAAAAAAAACCTGATTGAAGCTTAAGTAAAAGGAAAATGGAATTACAAACAACCATTAGAAAACCAATTCAACATGACACTGTGGAACTGAAAGTTGTTAATTTAGTGTATCTACAATTGTTCAGAGAGGTAAATTACTACAAACTTGTAGTAAGTTAGTAACCCATGAATTACTATATTTCACTGCATGACAACAGCAACATGAGAGTGATGTGGAAGGAACACAAACTAATGTAATTTAACAAAGCAAATATGAACTTAATCAGGCCGTTCTAGATTTTTTATTCTGAAACAAAACCTTCACATAAATAGTCATGCAGGCATGAAATAGTTATGAGTTAAAAGTTTATCAGAATACTCGCAAGTTATCCTTATCGAGGCAAACAACAGACTACGGAAGTCATAGAATGAATAGAGGCAAGAATGCGAATGTATTTCAAATAACAATTCTACTGAGAGAGCAGTGTAATAACTCACTGAAGGAGGATAGGTAAACAAAACTGCATTCTGTTCCTTTGTATATATGATCAGCTGCAATATCCCGTTGAATATAATATACTTGCCAGAGTCAAAGATCAAACAATATTCAAATTGTGAAATGAAGGGGACAAAATGAGGAAAAGCAAAGAATATAATTCTAGATTTATGAATTTGAGACTTCTTAGAAAGCGAAAAGCACCCTAAATTAAGCATAATCAAACAATAACGATAATTGTCTCATTGGAGATGTCTCTTATCTTTTCTTTTTTATTTTCATTTCAACATAATTCCATTTCACTTTTTTCTTTTGATTACCTTGGCCCAAAGAGAAGACAGCTACAATATAAATTGAAATCAAATGAAACTATACGTCAAAAAAAAAAGGAAAAAATAAAGAAATCCAACTCTTCTCTGTTAAAAATGTAACCTTATCTACCACCAATTTCACAGCAACCGAAAAGAGGATAGCAGGAATATAAGGCAAAGAAAAAAGTTCACCACGAGAAGGATATAATACGATACAGCCGATCAGGAAATTCCAGTTTTCAGGAAACTTCTTCTTGTAAAACTGAGCAAAAAGAGCAATGATGATAATGACAGTTCCGATCAACAATCTAACGTTACTGATCCTCACATCTTCAGTGTATCCACGGCTAGTAACGATCTATAATCCAAAACAACAGATCGATCATAAAACTATTCCAAAAAAAAAAAAACAAAAGACAATAATCTAACATTCGATGGAATGATTAACTATAAAGCGAATCCTATATGAATTACCTCCGTAACAGATTCATCGAGGATGTGTTTAATGGAGTGATGATCCAAAAGATTTGCTTTCTTTTGATTTTTGATACCGTTGGTCGCCGTGTCACTGTTCTTCTCTGGCATTTTTTACCCTCTGCTACTACAAACTAGGGTTTGTCTGAAAATGGGGCGTGAAATGAGTGTGAAGTGACTTTGTACTGAAAGCTGAGCAGTTACGAGTTGAGTGAGTGACTCGTGCTAAGGACGAGCCGAGTGAGTGAGACTTCAAGAAATCAACGAGTTCGCGGGCTAGGCTTCCCTGGTGATGTCATTGATGGGCCTTTGGCTTTTTGTGGATTTGGGAAATTAAATGTTGGGCCTTGGTTCGTTGATTAGGTGAGAAAGAACTCAACCTCGATAAAGTTCAATACACAAAAAATTGTTTATAGAGGCCGAGCTTAGCTCAACTATCTTATAAGTTAATCTTGAATGGTATGTTATATATAGAGTTGAAATTAAGTTAGTTTACATTTTTTTTCTAGTTTGATTTTTTTTTTTTTTACTTCAACAGTCAGGGATGTTTAAGTCAGTTTACGCGCATCTGAATTAATTTTTTTTTCAATCCGATTAAAGATAAATCATTTACGCTTAAAATTAAAGTATTCATGAGTAATAAATCTTTTATGACATGTGCCCAAAAGAGTCAGTATTTGAACTCAAGACCTTATTGAATGTTAATTAGCTTATTAAATGACATTTGAGTTGAATTCGAATAACAAATAAAATTAAAAATACATTCAAGCTTGACTCGTTTAATAGAAAAGTATATCCCAAAAAGCAATTGAGTCCAAATCGACTCAAAAGTACCTTGAATTGTTTTATACCCCTACTTGTTACCGGCTCACAAACCCCTTTTTTCTATTGTTCATTCCATTTTTACCCTATAAAATATATATTGAATTTTAACCATCAATATTTTAGGAAGTTTTCAACATCTTTACATTGGCAAATTGGTAGATGCACGAAAGTTCACCCTCCGATGCTCATAGACCCAACATCTTTCAAAATTTATAAATTCTCACTAAGGTCTAGCTTCTTTTTTTTTAGGTTCAACAATTAGGAGTATTACTTTTGTACATTTTAATTAATTTCTTTTCCGGTCTAGTTAAAGGCAGGTCATCTATGTCCAGACTAAGGTATTCATGAGTTATAAATCCTTCATAGTATGACTGCAAGAAATTATCAAAATTTGAATTTAGAATGCCAATCACGAAAAATCCCATGAAAATAAAATAGTCTTTTGAAACAAACCCTAATTGGCCAATTCAACTATTTTGTAATTATTCCACCACAATAATTGTTGAAGTTTTGAGTCAAACTCTCTGAGCGTCGCTTTCGTTATTTATTTGTTATTAGTTCTTTTAATAGATTTAGGAGTTTTGACCCGTTTAATATCCTAGTTAGTCTAGGATCAACTTTATTAGAAGTTTAGTTCACATGGGATTATACCCAAGTTAGAGTTAGTCTAGTTAGATTAGAAGTATTCTTTTATCTTTGTAAAAGCCTTTTGTATTACTAGAAGACTAAGGGTCGCACCTAAATCCATATTAAACTTCCAATTCCAAAGTTTGCTTCAAGAAAAAGTATTCACAACCTTTTTTCTCACTTCTGTGAAGATTTTGTTTTCTAAGAAAACAATGAGAAGTGTCAAAAAATTTTACGACTACTACGAGGAAGAAAAAGAAGAAGAAGAAGATTATGGGCATGATTATATTCTCGAACTCCATATTAAAAGTGCCTTGATCGACAAATCAAGCGTTTGGCCAGAGACGGGGAACAACATAGGGGACTATTATGTTATAGTGACGGACATATATGAGAGAGAGTATACAACTCCAATGGTTCTTGGATTACCAACAAAAACTGGTTCGGCCTATGTTTTTCCATGGAACTGGTTGTTTCATATAGGTTTCGACGAGTTTCCGCACGGAGGGTCCTTGAAGGTGGAGATTATTCGGGTTGGACATGTCGAAGATCCCGGAACGTCAGACGGCATTACGGTGATGGGCAGAGTTGAAATTCCTATGCCGGATCGTATTAAGGATGAGTGGGATGGGCGCGAGGGAATTCTCACTAGGCTTGTTCGGTTTGATGATTTAAAGGTTAAAGGATTAATTTATGTGGGCATGAAGTTCACGAGTGTATGGGCTAAGAAGAAGCCATTGCCTCAATTAAGCGACTATATGTAATTTTTGACAAGCTTTTAACTACTTTCATCGATTATTATTTACTATTTCTTTCACACTGTTATATTTTTATGTATGGCTTTGATTTTTTTTAGATGTGTTCTTAGCCTGATCAAGTTATGTTTTTAGTCAATTTGATTACATATCTTGTTATCTAGATATCTTCGATTAAGCTTTCGGGTTTCCTCTTTCCACTTTTTATAATGTGTGATTAATAACAATAATTTTTTGGCGCGACAATCAATACAATCTTGACCCAATATGTAGTTAATAGATAATAAAAAGTTTATGAATTTCGATTATAGATTTTGAGACTATCGTGTTTGAGTTAGTTTTAGTATTCTTTTGGGTCGAACCGGACCGTCTGATGATTTGGGATCTATTCAATATTTACTCTTTTGTATGGATTTTTTGAGAAATCGTAAAAGTTAGGTAGATCCAAAAAAACACACAGCTCACAGGAAATGCCAATTTATTCAATTATTAATCACTACAATGTAAACGTCTTAAGTCAGCTGAAAAAGGACAATGTAAACGTCCTAAGCCAGCTCAACGAGTTTGCCGTCTCTGGTGAAGGATCGAGAGATTCATTCCTGTCTCGTGGGCTTCCCGCTCGGGAGGCAGAAACGAAGGATCTAAGAAACCACCTAAACAACAAAACAGAAAACTCTAGGGCCCCAAAGTGACCCAGAGCCGGTGAGCATCATCATGACAACCATTCAAGGAAAGCAAGGCCATTGGCCCTGGACGAGCTCCGACGAGGTTTGTCTAGACGGAGGAAGGGAGATGAATCCGAGGAGGACTCAACCCAATCCACACGACGCCCAGGAGATGAGGGGCTTACCGATGAACTCAAAGACTTCAGAAGGCATCCCGTTAGGGAAGAGATTGATCTCAGAACCCGGTTAGACTCCAGGAGAAAGGGTAAGACTGTCCAGGATGAGGCCGAGGACGAAGTCATACAAACACCCTTCACGAGGGAAATCGGTGAGATGGAGGTTTCAAGAAAGTTTGTCGTGACGCGGTTCAAAACTTATGACGGGCGGTCCGATCCCGAAGCCCATGTCAGGCAATACAAGCAGATGATATCCCTCTATCATTCGGACCAACGGTTTCTATGCCGAGTGTTTCCTATGAGCTTGGGGGACTCTGCGATGAAATGGTTCGAGGCGCTTCCCCCAAACAGTATTGGGTCCTGGAAGGAATTGACTAGACAGTTCCTGGCTCGATTCATTACGGGGAGTAAGCGCCCCAAAGACATTGGATCATTGCTGACCCTCAGACGGAGGGAATCCGAAACTCTTCGCCAGTACGCCATCCGATATTGGGAAGAGGTTAATGAGATAGAAGGCTGCTCGGAGGTCATGGCAGCAGCATCTTTTCGGCTCGGCTTGGCAAGGGACACGGACCTGTACCGATCCCTAACCAAGAAGACTCCCTCGGACATAGGAGAACTAATGGCCTGGATAAACAAGTACTCGAGGGTTGAGGACGAGATGAGAAGCAGCAAAGGCCGAGTCCTCCAATCTAAAAGAAAGGAGAAGGAGCGGGAAGATATTCCCCGAAAGGGATTGCTACCCCCTCCAGGGGGTTCGTCCAGAGGAGTTCACACTGTTTTCAAGGAACCCATCTTCAAGTTGCTCCATAAAATCAAAAACGAGCCGTTCTTCAAATGGCCGCCCAGGATGCAGAGCGACCCCTCCACCCGTGATCAAAGGGTTAGGTGTTCCTATCACCGGGATTTCGGGCATCGCACCGAAAGCTGCAGGGTGTTCAAATCGTTCTTGGAAAGCTTGGTCCGAGACGGACATTTGAAAGAGTACATAGAGCCCAGGCCAGAAGAGAGACGAGCCCTTGCCCCGACCGAGGAACTGGACAACATCATAGATGTCATTCATATATGTCCCCTGGATCGCCCCACGTCCAAGGAACTCGAGTCCGACCTCAAGAGGGTAGCTTTTACGAGGAAGGTAGCCGAGGGTGATGTAGGGCCACCAAGTAAAAGGGCCAGGACGGGTGAGCTTGACATTACATTCTCCGACGCGGATTTGACAGGCGTAGTGACTCCCCATAACGACGCCCTTGTCTTGACCCTAAGGATAGGGAAATTCGATGTCAAAAGAATTTTGATAGACTCTGGAAGCTCCTCGGAGGTGATGTACTTCGAAACTTTGAAACGGATGGGTCTTGGCCCCAAAGACCTCACCAAAGTCAGGACACCCCTCATCGGGTTCAACGGCTCATTCGCCTTGCCCGTGGGGAAAATCACATTGCCAGTTGCCACTGGTCCCTTTATCATCGACACCGAGTTTGTTGTGATCGATACGGACTCTCCCTACAACGTGATTATGGGGCGAACATGGCTGCATGCGTTGGGAGCGGTGCACTCCACTTTTCACCAGAAATTAAAATTCGCCACGCCAGAAGGTATCATGGAGATCCGGGGGGACCAAGCGTCCGCGAAAAACTGTTTTTATTCAGCCGTTCGAGCCAGGAGAAGGGGCGAGCACCGGAAGAGATTATGGAAAAATAGCAATTACAGTCCGGGCGTCCAGGAATGGATGACCCCCGGATAGACCCAACTGAGCGGTCAGTGGAAGACCTCCGGAAGGTGCCCTTGATAGAAGGAGAAGAAGAGAGGTATTTCCTAGTTGGAACCTCGATGCCCACAGCCGAACAAGAGGAGATGATCAAGTTCCTAAGGGGGAATACAGACGTGTTCGCGTGGAACGAGATGAAAATGACGGGGGTAGACCCCGAGATAATCACACACAGGCTGCATGTCGACCCGTCGCACAAGCCAGTCAAACAGAGGCCACGACGCATGGCCCCGCATCACACCAGCGCGGTCAACGAGGAAATCGACAAACTCCTGAAGGCCGACGCCATTCGAGAGATACAATTCCCAGAATGGCTATCTAATACGGTGTGCGCAAAGAAGAAAGGGGGAAATGGCGTGTCTGCGTAGACTTTACAGATCTGAACAAGGCATGCCCCAAGGATGACTACCCCCTGCCAAAGGTGGACCAGCTGGTAGATGCCACAGCCGGATATGAACGAATGGACTTCCTGGATGCCCGAGCAGGATATCATCAGATCCCTCTCTATGCCCCGGATCAAGAAAAGACGGCGTTTATCACTCCGAAGGGAGTTTACTGTTACAAAGTGATGTCGTTTGGACTAAAGAACGCTGGGGCAACATACCAAAGACTGATGAATCGGATGTTCAAAAAGCAGATCGGCAACACCATGGAGGTCTACATAGACGATATGCTGGTGAAGAGCAAACGGAGTTGTGATCATCTAACAGATTTGGCGGATACCTTCTCCACCCTCAGAGAGTATGGGCTGAAGCTGAATGCGGCAAAGTGCGTTTTTGGAGTGGAATCAGGTAAATTCCTCGGATACCTGGTTAGTCAACGGGGAATCGAAGCCAACCCAGATCAGATTCAAGCGATCCTGGACATCCGGAGCCCTCGCACTGTCCGAGAAGTCCAGAAACTCACAGGGATGCTGGCTGCACTGAACCGTTTCGTCTCACGCTCCTCGGACAAATGCAAACCCTTTTTCGGAGCAATCAAGAGTGCTGGGAAGAATATGTGGAGCCAGGGGTGCGAGGACGCCCTGGCTGGAATCAAAGAATACCTAAGGACTCTTCCAACCTTGTCCGTCCCCATCCAGGGGAGATGCTGTTCTTGTACCTGGCAGTATCTGAGTTTGCGGTAAGCGGGGTACTTATCCGTGAGCATGAGCACCGCCAGAAGCCGATTTACTATATAAGCAAGGCGCTCCTGGACGCAGAGACAAGATATCTACCCCTAGAGAAACTGGCTCTATCCTGGTCACCACTGCAAGGAAACTGCGGCATTATTTCCAGGCGCACCCAATCACTGTCCTTACCGATCAGCCCTTGAAAGCAATCTTGAGGAAAGCGGAACTCTCCGGAAGGATTTCCAAGTGGGCAGTAGAGTTGGGGGAGCACGACATTCATTTCAAACCCCGAACTGCGATAAAAGGTCAAATATTGGCAGACTTCATAGCTGAGTTTTCAGGGGAGCATCCCGTTCCAGAAGGACCGCCTCCTCCCGACTTAGCGTCTCCAACGAATTGTGAAGGATCGCCCTGGCTTTTGTGTGTGGACGGTTCGTCAAATAGTAAGGGGTCCGGAATCGGTATCTTGCTGACCTCTCCAGATGGGATTATTGCGGAGCAGGCCGTTCGGCTGGGATTCAAGGCTTCGAATAATGAAGCTGAATACGAGGCCCTCATCTCAGGACTTCGGTTAGCTGAGGCGACTGGAGTTACCGATTTGATCGTGCATTGTGATTCTATGCTAGTGGTCAATCAAGTCAACGGAGAGTTTGAAACGAGGGACCCCAGGATGAAGGCCTACCATCACCAGGCGACGACTGTAATCCGAAGGTTCAGCCGGATTGAAATCAAACAAGTATCCCGAGACAAGAACACACATGCCGACGCCCTGGCTTGTCTAGCCTCGGCGGTGGACTCCTCCCAGTCGCGCAGGATCACCATTGAATACCTTCCCACATCCTGCATAGACCATGCTCCCGAGGCAATGGTCATCCAGGACGCACACAAGCCGCCCAGTTGGATTGATCCCTTTGTCAGGTTCCTAACAACAGGAGATCTCCCGGAGTGTTCAAAGGAAGCAAGGAAGATAAAACTCAAAGCTCCAAGATTTTGGGTCTCTCCGGATCAGAAGCTGTATCGGAGGTCTTTCTCAGGGCCTTACTTGCTATGCGTCCAAGAAGACCAAGTACAAGACCTTCTCTATGAGGTACATGAAGGAATATGCGGGGGGCACTCTGGGGGGCGATCAATGGCACACCGCATCATGTCTCAGGGATATTGGTGGCCGCAAATGCAAAGGGATGCGCGCGCATACGTCCAAAAATGCGACCAGTGTCAGAAGTTCTCCCCTGCAATCAGGCAACCCGCAGGGGACTTACACCCCCTGACCAGCCCTTGGCCATTCGCCCAGT